GTTTGTCTCACGTTAGCTTGCATCTTAAAGACCTGTGACGGAATTTGTGAACAACAGAACAGCTGCCTTTGTGCACCTGTTAGAGTGTTACAAAAACTTTACAATTCATGCAACATTTCAGGCTATTAAATATTTATATTCTCATGTTCATGTACTGGAAGCTGAAGCAAGCATGTGGCAAAAAAAGAGTGACTGACCTTTAAAATCCATGTGAGATGCTTTCTATATTATATTACATTTTTTTGTGTGTTTTGCTTTTTATTTGATCTTGTTTGTAGCATAGAAAAACATTCCACTGGATTAAACCTGAAAATAAAGTCACAAAGCACCGGTGTCATGTTTTGATCTTAGCATCATCTTATTTAAATTCACAGCTGTGTTTATGAATAAGAAGACCAAGCATTTGGAGTATCATCTCTGTGTATTGTGCTCCTTGTTCAGGTGGTGTATGAAAACGGAACTCTGAAGCTCAGTGATGTCCAAAAGGGGATGGACGAGGGGGCCTACGTCTGCAGCGTGCTCATCCAACCACAGCTGTTCATCACGCAGACTGTTTATGTCACTGTCAAAGGTGAGTCGTTTTGAAAGTAGTAACTTTGTTGGAGAGTTTCGCAGGTTTTCGCTCATAACCACGATGCATTTTCCCAGAATAAAAAGTCACACGCAGTAGGTGTCTCTAAAACACCCAATCTTGTGTGTTATGTGGTGCAAATTAGTGTTTGGGATTTTCACACTAAGGGGAATATACTAAGTAAAATAACAGAGAATTGTGAGTCTAGCTTTTACTGTGTCATAAAATGCAGTGGAAAAAACTTATGAATGTAGAAAAGAGTGATTGTAAGAGGGCTGGAGAGTGACTGGAGCAGGAGGGTGCGAGTGCAGTAAGAGAGGAAAGAAGAAAGCTGTATGCATTGCCTCTAATAACCCCTGATTAAGGGGCGGAGTGGTCTAGTGAGCTCTCTCAACCACTCAGCAATTACATAGAGCAGGGGTGCTATTGTATAAGGTTTGTATGTGTGTGCATGTGTGTAAATGACAGTGCGTTTGCATGTGTGTATCCATACTGTGTGTTACCTTGTACGTTATTTGGCTTTGCTCTCTGCAGTGATATCATGACATGTTTGTTTTAGGACGTTGTCGAGTGTGAGTATGGGTTTTGTGTGTTTCGTGCTTGACATTAGCAGATGTGTAAAATCCGTGGTACTCAGTGGTCTTCGTAGTGTTCCTCTGTGCATACGTGTGTGTCTATGTACACAAGCGCACATGCATGTGTGTGTATGTGCATTCGTAGGTGCAGGTATGTGCTGGTATGAATGTGTGCTCGTCATGTCTCTGATTTAATTAGATGAATTTTAACGAGGCCCAGATTAAATCCCCCAGATGTCTCAGCTGTAACCCCCCTACCCCCTCTCCCCACCTCCAAACCACCGCCATCACCTCCACCGGTCTCCATGGCAACACCATTCTTTCCCCCTTCGGATGGGGCTCTAATTAGAGCAGCTATTATGGGCTGGCTTTAGCAGGGCAGGGTGGAGTGGAGGGGTTTGTAGGGGCCACAGGCAGCTGCAGAGTGGGCAGTGGACTAGTAGGCCAGACAGCAGTGGAAGGTGAAGCTTGGGGCATCCAGACTCAAGAAATCAGATTATCAATCTCCTGCAGTCCTGCAGAGAGATGGAACACTAGTTTACCAATCAGCCAGTCAGGTGAAAATGAAATCTAACATTGTCTTTTCGTTCTTTCTGGTCTTTGCTTCTGTTTCGCTCAACCTCTTCTCCCTTCACGTCTCTCCCCCTCCCACCCCATGTCCTCTCAATGCCCCTGAATATTCAAATGTGTGTCTACCCATATTCTCACTGTCTTCACATCTGTCTCTCTCTCTCTTTTCTCAATCCTTCACTTATTCATATCTGTTTGAAATCTCTGTCTTCACCTTTTACTCACCCCACTCGCTTAAACAACCCTCTAACTGTTTTTGTTCACCTTTTTCTTCATTCCTTTTCCCTCTTTTCCTTTTTCTCTCTACTCTCGTTCTACCCTTTATTTCACCCTGTTGCCTGTCCTTGCCTTTTTCTCTCCCTCATTCCCCTTTTGATCGACTTGACTGCCTGTTCTGTCTCTTTTACTTATATTACTTCTTCTATCTCATTTCACTGCTTCCTTTATCACATTGTTCCTCCTATATTTTTGTTTACTCTCCCTCCACCCCTCCCTTCCTCTCTACCTTCACCTCTCTTGCTTACTCTTTCATCTTCTCCTTCTCCACCCCTTTCAGTTCCTCCACTGATCCAGCCATTTGACTTTCCACCGACTTCTATCGGTAAATTGATGTACATCGCCTGTGTGGTGTCATCTGGAGACATGCCCATACGCATCACATGGCGCAAAGACGGGCAGGAGATCGTCCCCTCTTCGGGCATCACTATCGACACAAAGGAGTTTATGAGCTCCCTCCAAATATCCAAGGTGTCGCTCAAACACAATGGCAACTACACCTGCATTGCCAGCAACGATGCTGCCACTGTCAGCACAGAGAGGCAGCTTACAGTTACAGGTAAGAAAAAAGTGATATTTAGAGAGAGCTGAAGGAGAAAGAAAATGGGTTATTTCAAAAGAGCACTGTAGTGATTTAGGATTTTGAGGTACTTTATACAGTGCTTATCAAAAGTATTCACCCCCTTGGAAGGTTTCACCTTTTACTTTGTTATAACACTGAATCATTGTAAGTTTCATCTGGCTTTTTTGATTAACAGAAAAAGACACTTCATGCCATATTGAAAACAGATCACTACAAGTAAAGTAAATTAAGTACAAATATAAGAGAGTAAACAAGCGATTGCAGAGGTTTTCACCCCCAGGTCTCGGTCAGCGTTGCACCAGTGGACACTGGATTTTTTTTTCCCATTCTTCTTTGCAAAAGTCCAACCACAGATTCTCAATAGGATTGAGGTCTGGCCTCCACCTGGGCCACTCCAGAATCTTAACATTGTTGTTTTTTCAATAATGGCTTTCTCTTTGCCACAAAAAAATTCTCTTGCCAAAAAAAATTATGATGATTTTAATGTAACAAACTAAAAGGCAAAAACTTCCAAGAAGAGTGAAAACGTTTTATAGGCACTTATGGTACTATTTTGATTGAAATACTGTTTTCTGGCCATGCAGGAAACATTAACCTCTAGAGTCCCTGCGTCCTCATATGAGGACCGCACAGCTTGGGTTTCCAAAGCTCAGGACTCTAGAGGTTAAATATAGTTCCATTGTGGGGAGGGACCAAAACCATTTCTTTCTTTTTTTATTTACTTATCTCCTCTTCCTCCAGTGCCTCCTCGGTTTGTGGTTCAGCCCAACAACCAGGATGGGATCTATGGCAAGGCAGGGATCCTAAACTGTTCTGTTGATGGATACCCTCCTCCTAAGGTCATGTGGAAGCATGCCAAAGGTACACTAGGTACATGGCCCGTCTTTCATTTTTTATCTCTGTAATGTGATGTGTCTGTGTCGTCTTTTCTCTGCCCATTGTCATATTCATAGGTCCATGCTGTCCAAAGTAAATGCTTCGGAAATGCAAGTGTTTCCTGGTTACTGTGGCATAACCACCTGCCCTTGTTGCTGTCTCTGTTTCTGTCCAGCGGGTATTGGGAACCCGCAGCAGTACCACCCTGTGCCTCTGACAGGCCGCATCCAGATCATGAGTAATGGCTCTCTACTCATCAGACATGTCCTGGAAGAGGATCGTGGCTTTTACCTCTGTCAGGCCTCCAATGGTGTGGGTTCAGACATCAGCAAGAGCATGGTCCTCACTGTAAAAAGTGAGTATACAAGCTAGTTTTTTCCAGCATAGATAACAGCATTGAGACCATTTGGGATGCTCCAATGCTCCTGCACACATTCGCACTAGTTGCTTTGTAGATGAAACTTTTACATTCATCAGCTCAGATGAATAATGCAGCTTGCACTGCTCTCCCCTATATACAGACATACTGTACATGTGCAACAATAAAGTGGTGGAGCAAAGGTGACCATGAACATAACAGCAAAAGAAACAAGTGTGCGTATGATAGGCTGTGAGAAAGCGAGCAGCCGAGCAATTGATCTTTTGACTCTTGGGATCTATCTACAGACAATCAAAAACACTGAGCTTAATCATTATCTGCAATCAGCCTCTCTGTCCTGCCTTTGCTATGAGTACTGCCCTCTGTAATGCAGTGTGAAAATGCACAGGTAAAATATACCTGCACATACTGTACAAACACACAGACTGTCATCATTAAGTGGGGCTTTATCTGAGGCCAGTATCCTCTGCATCATGCAGTACTCTGACCTTACAAAAAACAGCTGTACACAAAAGAGATGTTAATTCCTGGCACCTTTTGATGCTTATACTTTTGTCACACACAGACACAGATAACCAGGTGCACATGAACGCACTGTGTTCTGCTATCACAGGGCTGCCCACTTCTCTCTCTCTCTCCTTCTGGTGTTAGCGTTATTGATTGAACCGTTCCTCTCCTCTGCTTCCTTCAATTTTGTCTGTTTCGCTCAGCGGAGAGGGAGGAAAAGAGGAAAAGGGGGAGGGTGATATGAATAAGTGATGAAAACAAAACAGCAGAACCCTCCTCAGATCGATGTTGTGTGTGTGTGTTTCTGTGTGTGTTAGCCAGAAAAGATTGTGTGTGTGAGTGATTTTGTGTACAGAGTGTGCACAAAAGGTAGTGTTATCGCTTTGCCTCTTCATTCACCTAGACCCTAATGTTAACTATTGGAGAATGAGAGAGGAGGTTTATTGACTTTACCTCATTGACCATAGCTCTTCATTACTCTAGTGCAATGGAACTTGGCTACTCTGAACTCCACCTTTTTAACTTCCAGCTGTCCTCTCTGCTCTTTCACTTCTTTCTCCCTTTACATTTAAACCCTGCTTATTATCCACACACTCTCTTTTCCTCCCCTCTTCCATCTTTTGTCTGCCTGTGTCATCTAATATCCCTGGCATCAATCCGTTTACTGTCACCATTTCTCCCTGCATCCACCATTTATCCTCACCTTCTCTTCATCTCACACTCCATTTCCCTTCTCCTTCCAGTCCCCGCAATGATCACCAGTCACCCCAACACTACCATGGCTAAGAAGGGTCACGTGAAGGAGCTGAACTGCACAGCCAGGGGAGAATGGCCCATCATCATCCGCTGGGAAAGAGGAGACACAGTCATTGATCCCGACCGCAACCCCCGATACTCCATTACCACCAGTCCCAATGAGAAGACTGATGAGGTGTTGTCTACGCTCAAGGTAAAGAAATGCTTGTACATGGTCCAGCATCTAGCTGATGAAATCAGACAGCAGTAGCTTCATGACTGTTACTCAGCTGATAGCTTTCAGTTTTCTCTCTTTCACTTTTCTTGTTCGTCTGTTTGGACTCTGAGTCGGGGTTCGGCATACAAAGCACGCTCTGGTGAACATTTGTACATTCAGTATATGGGGAAATGTGGAAGAAAAGTGAGATACAGATAAAGAAGAATACATTACCATATCAATCAGTGTGTTAGGCGTTGTTAGACGCTGGTACCAATCTAGGCCAGTCATATCAGGCACCTGCCCCAGTACTGGCAGTTTCATAATGGAGTCCAGTGAAGTGACAAAAATAGCACAGAGGGTGGTCTAAAGGTGTAAGAAAGTAAATCTTAACTCCAAAAATGCAAGATGAAAAACTCTCTCTTCTCCACAACAAAACTGTGCTTTACGCAGTTTGCCTGCACAAAGATAGATCTGTAGTTCTCTGACATTGATCTGTCAACCTTCCTCCTTACAGTTAAAGCCAGCAGAGCGTGAGGATTCAGTCTTCTTCTCCTGTCATGCCATTAACTCTTATGGAGAAGGACGAGGCCTCATCCAGCTCACTGTGCAAGGTAACCATTCCTGTACAGATGTCGACATGTTGTTAGAAAATACACAAACCAGCTCTGTCATCTTTCCATCTAAAATGGTCTTTCTTCTTTTTTTTTTCTTCTTCTTTTTTGGCACTGCTCTCCTCAGAGCCCCCAGACCCTCCAGAGTTGGAGGTGAGAGAAGTAAAAGATCGTAGTATGAATCTTCGATGGACACAGAGATTTGATGGAAACAGCGTCATTACCTCCTACGATATTGAGTATAAGAACAAGACAGGTAGGTGAAAAGAGCAGACAGTATTATAGCGCTGTTCTCTTTATTTAAAACATTACAGATTAGGTTAACTGTCAAAATACATATGTTAGTAATGTTACAATTCAAAAATTTTACTTTATTTGTCTGTAGGAAAGTTATTTGGGATAAAAAAAAAAGCTTCCTAAATATAAATGTTTTTGAAATCAGAAAAAAAAATTCTCTTCTTTTTTTTTTTTTGTCAGATTCCTGGGAGTTGAAACATGCCACTCGAAACATCTCCCCGACCAACAATCAAGCCAACATAGTGGACCTTCACCCTGCCTCTGTCTACAGCATTCGCATGTACTCCTACAACGCCATAGGCAAGAGCGAGGCCAGTAAGGAACTAACCATCAGCACAGAGGAAGCACGTAAGTATCTTGACCGCACTGCTTTTAACCAATGTGAATGTGAGCAGATATTTGCTTGTTGTTTTGCTCTTAGCATGACATTTGTCCTTGAATAAGGTTTTAATACTAAAAGTCAATGAAACTCAAAAAGAACGAGCTTGAAAACCACATATCAGAATATTTGAAGGTCATGAGACTTAATGGAAACACAGAATGTTTGTTTAACAGTAGCAAAATGCCTCTGCCTCAGCTCCTTTGTGTTGCTGTCACCCTGCAGAGCCCGATGGTCCTCCCATGGATGTGATCCTGCAGCCTGTCACCTCTCAGAGTATTAGGGTCACCTGGAAGGTAAAGCCATGTACTTCCACAAAGATGATTTTTCATTTCCTTACAGCACTTTGTTTCCTACTTGTAAAGTAACCTAATGTCTGAATCATTGCATCTACTGTAAATATGAAAAGATGAATCTGATGTACTGTAAGTATTGTCTTTTCTTATTTCATCACTTAGGCTCCCAGGAAGGAACTGCAGAACGGGGTGATCCGAGGTTACCAGATCGGCTACAGAGAAAACGGCCCAGGCAGTAACGGCCAATACAGCATTGTGGAGATGAAGGCCACTGGAGACAGTGAGGTTTACACCTTGGACAACCTGAAGAAGTTTGCCCAGTATGGTGTGGTTGTCCAGGCCTTCAACAGAGCTGGCACAGGGCCCTCTAGCTCAGAGATCAACGCTACAACGCTGGAGGATGGTGAGGATCGGACAGCAGACCTCAGCATATGCAAAAAAAGGAATTTATTTATTTATTTATTTACATTTTGGTCTGTTTATGAGTTTAAATTTGGGCTACTAGAGTTCAGCAGCATGGTGCATTCTGTACGGTGGAAGAGTGACCTTACTATAGTCCTATATCATCTGGTTTGTTTTGACTTTAATTTCAAGTTAATGCATGTTTTCTGTCATGCTTTGTAACCTGAGATGACTGTTCTTTATTCTTTATTTGAATCCCTGTTAGCTTCCACACAGTGGCCACTGGTCTTCCTGGGGTTTAGTCTTCCACTAAAAACAGCAAATTAAAGAAACATCAGGTTGATCAATCAACCAGAAATTGTGATTGCAAACTCCACACAGAAAGGCCTCAGTTCAGACAGGGCTCGAACCCGGAGCCTTTTTGATGTGATACGAAAGGGCTAACCGCCACACCACTGTGTTTATTGTTAATGCTTTGCACACATAAATAACATGGAAAGAACAGATGTTTCTCTGCAGCACTTGACCAAACTGCATTCTTTCTGTCCTCTCACTAATCATTTTACAAATATCAGGGACATGCATAGTCTCATTGACACAGTGCACATTCCCCAGCACTTCAGTGATTTTTGAGGGATCCTAGTGGCCTCAAACATGGAGATGGAGGCAGAGGAGCTAAATTTTGGGTCAATGAATAAATAAATGAATGAATGAATGAAAAAATGCTGAAGGCTGCTCAGTCTTACACAGTAAAATTTTTAAACTGCATCTTCATGTGACACACCTCTACCCAGATCTGAGCCACCAACAGTTTCAGTTCCAGTTACTTTCTATTAAATGAGATATGCTGTTATCTAAAAGACAAACAAATGGGTGCAAAAACATCCATCTCCTTAGCGGAAGGACTGATGGGAGTCACTTTCCAGACCGGTATTTTGCAAAAACTAAACAAAAAATGTGACTTTTTTTCACACACTAGGTCACAAAAAATATCCAGTACTTCCTTAAAAATTATGAACAGGTAATCTTGTAGGAGAGTTGGAAGGGGCTGTTGTAGAGCAGGCGGGCAGTGGATCACTGGACTTTTAGTTTGTTTGTGGGTCTGGCTTGTCTTCCAAAAGCTATGATTTACAAAGCGAGGCAGCTTTTCCTCTTATCCATTTTTTTTGTAAATCAATATTTTCTAAGTGAGCTACATTAATTGACTTTCAGCCTCTAAGGAGCAGAAGAAATCCAAAACAAGCTGACAGCTGTTAACATAAAAACACAGATCAATATCTCTTCAAAAGAAAAAAAACTCAATTATTTCTCAAGAAGGCCCCTAAATATTGTACGTCTTCTACTTTCATTTTCAGTTCACTCTTTCTTTCTGTTCTTTATTGCTCAGCTGTTGTTTTTAAAAGCAGTTCATCTGCAAGCTGTGTATGGAAACTGTTTTTTTCCCCCCTACAAACAAATACAAACACACACGTCATATACATACTTGTCCATCCAGTGAACAGTTGGCTGAGCCCCATTGGTCCAAAGCAGACAGAGCTCTCCATTTTTTCCCAGTGGCTGTCACCGTGGCGACAGTGATATTGATGGCCATTATGATAATAGTGATAACAACAAGCATACTAAAAATAATTATAATTAGCTTGTGTCTGTCTCTCTCTCTCTGTCCCTTTGCTGGCTTCCTGCTGTAATTACCCACAGCTGAGTGCATTGTCTCTCTGCTCTCTCTTTTCATCTTTTTCTGTCCTTCCCTTGCTCCATTTGCTTTTAATTCTTCCTCCCTTCCTCCTTCTTCCTCTGCCCCTCACCCCTCCTCCTCCTCCTCCTCCTCCTCCCTGAGGCTCAGTCCAAAACTGCCTTCGTTCTGTTCCTCTATTCCTGATCTCTGTATTTCAGACTTATGCAACATTTTTCAGTTTACCTGCCTTCTTTCATTTGTGTAACCCTAAAGAAGCCCCATTAAAGACAGTTTGGAGGCATTCTAACCAGCTTACCTTTTTGTCCACATCTTCTTTCAGCTTTATTTTTGTAAAGGTGTGACTGTGAAGCGAATTGCTGGCCTGTGTTTTGTTGCCTTCTAATTATTTGGATGTGGGGCCCAAAGATTTATTCATGCAAAACCCTGTTTCAGTTTTCTAATCCTCCTTCCTCCTCCCCCCCTTCCTCTGTCCTCCTCCCCACCTCCTCTCTCTCCACCAGCTGCAGAGAAATTCCCTGGTGGACTTGGCCCGATCTCTCTCTTTCATTGCTCTGTCTTTCAGTTGCCTCTCTTCCTCTCTTCCTGACCCTCCTTTCCTCACAAGTTGACTTTTGTTCATCTTCAACAGTGTGCTTTATTCAAAGTCTGAAAGACTAATGGTCAGCGGTGGCCAATAAAAGAGACACCTGGACTGGAGGGGATAGAGGGAGGCTTGTACAGAGAGAAAGAGATGGTGGTTGTAGGAGATGGGCCTATACATCAGGCTGGACACATGTCGTGAGCTTTTTATCTATCGCTAGCCTGTTTACTCATCAGGTTTGATATGGAAATGCTTTTTAGGGTTTCAGAGAAGGTTTATTTATCTGTTTATTTATCTACCAAATAGACAAATACAGTCCTCATTTTTACAAGACAATGACAGCCTCTGGGTTGATGAAAAACAAATAAAAATTTTCACAGTTACTAATCTCTTAAACCTCACTGACCAGGTAAAGGAGCAGTCAAAGTGTAGCTGATGGAACTTTAAATTATAGTGGAGATCCAAAAATATTCATAGATACTAAACATGCCAGATATTTCGGGGTAAATGTTATATAATGTACAAAATAAAGCAAAAGACATCAATTTCTTGGAATGATGCAGCCTTCACTGAATTTGCTTCAATAAAACATTGGAACAAGAACATGATTCTGCCAGACAGTGAAGATACACTTTTCAACCTTAAAGAAGTTTGGATGGTAGCTAAAAAATGTTCTTGATTTTCTCCAGTTCATCTGGGTATTTAGATTAGTCATCAAACAAGGAGTAACCATTTACCACCCTTCAATGGATAAACCTTTTCTATGAATAGATAGGGTAGAGACATGATTTATCTAACTTACCTGACCTTTTCTCCCCTCTCTCTATCTTTTCTCCAGTTCCCAGCCAGCCTCCTCAGAACGTGCGAGCCATTTCTGTGACATCAGATGAGGCAGTAATCACATGGGCCGAGCCTCCCAGGATGACGCTACATGGTGTACTGAAAGGATATCGCGTAGTCTTCTGGGCCGTCTTCCCGGATGGAGGTGGGTTGAGCGTGTCTGTCATCCTGCTTAGACGTCGTGACTAGTAAGAGCCTAGTCCTTGGCCTGAATGTTTCTTTTTGTCTCTCAGAGTGGGGTGAAATGCAAAACATCACAACCACTAAGGAGCAGGTAGAGCTCAAAGGCCTGGAGAAGTTCACCAACTACAGCATCCAGGTGCTGGCTTACACCCAGGCCGGGGACGGCGTTCGGAGCAATGTCCTGTACATCCAAACCCGTGAAGACTGTGAGTCCATATTTTAGTCAATCTTTCCACACAAATGAATCCAAAAATGAACTGACCTATAATATGTCATTTACTCTCACTACATCTTTGAGGCAGGTCGAAAGGCTTCAGTGTAGGAGGCAGTGAGTGTGTGTGGGGGAGCTAGCCTTTTTGTAAGACTGAGGTTGCTGATTAAAACCTCTTTGTGCTCTGATGTGCCATTACCAGTGCTAATGAGAATTAAGAAGCCAAAAAGTGTGTGGTTAAGGAGCCTAAGGGTGTGTGTCTGTGCACGTGAACATGTGGAAGTGTTTGGGATGGGGATGTGTATTTGGGTGTCTATATGTCTTAGCATTAGTGTTCGTGTCCATGTGCTATTGTTTGTGTGCAAGACAAACTCAGCGCCCAGCACAAAGAGAGGGATTAATTCTTTGTGGCTTAGAGAGAATTAATTTTGTGCTTACACCGGCGGGCTGTGGATTACATCCATATCCACCTCTCGTCTCCCTCCCTGGGGCCAGGCAGAGTAGGAGGCAGGCATCTGAAGATGGAGAAAATGAGGAGTGGAGTGGGGGGGTGCAGTGTGTCATTTCAGAAAAAGCCTTTATTCTCTCTTCCACACTATATCTCTGTTTTATGAGCTGCCATCACTACAGTAGCTCTTCAAATATGTGTATTGAGTTAGGCGTTATGTGTGTATACATGTGTGTTTATCAGGGGCAAGCTGAGAGCCTCTTTTTCCCTGATGTGGGTTGACACTGTGTCCAGGGGCAGCCTCTACACATACGTTCAGTGTTCTCTGTCGCTCTCAGTCTCACCCTTCTGTTTGCCCTCAGTTCTATCTATAGCATATGGAAAAGTGTTGCAGTGCAAACAGCCAAATCTGAACCTGCCTTTTTCTGTCTGGCCCCAGACAGAAGAAGACATTCCAGATACCTGGTGGTTTATGCTCTTTCCACTAGCCCCTCCACCCTGGGGACTACAGCATTTAGCCCCTTTGAATGTGTACATTTGTTGCTCTTATAAGTAGGCACACACGTGCTAATTTGCAGATTTGATCTTTGTAACAGTATGCTTACTTAAGTTGTCTAATTACTTGTATAGGTTTAAATTCTTCTTCTATTAGGTTCAAAGTTACACCAAGAAACAAACACTACATGTTTGACTTTTTTTATTGATCAACTGAACCCTGATATTTTAGGACCAGGAGGATTCAGAAGGCAAGGTTCGAAGTCTGGACACAGATGATTTATTTAAGCAGTCGATAAACAGACACTGGAGAACTAGACAGCAGGAGTGACTAGGATCTTTGGAGAGTATGGAGCAGGTGAGGTAACCCACAGCGTGGACAGACGCTCAATGTCAGATGGGGATTCTGAGCTGGCACAACCAGGGGAACAGACCGGGTAACACAGGGGAGCAGGTTAAGGCCGGCTGTGGAGATGGGTTGGTGAGCCCAAGGATCAGGTGAGGAGTTGATCTGCGCTGGAGGTTGTCTAGTGGCCGAGGAAATCGGGACTCACAAGGGAAAGTGACGCCAGCCACTGAGTGGTGCGTCTAGCGGGCAGGAGAGAAGTTGGTGTAGCCGGGAGGCCAGGAGCACGCAGAGGAGTAGAGCAGGCAAGAGAGACGTAGTTGTAGCTGAGGTGCCGGGGACACTCAGGTGAGTCAGGTAGGTGGGAATGGCACTGATGGAGCTTGAGAGTCCAGAAACTCACAGGTAAGTTGAACTGGACACGCAGGCGAGAAGTGCAGGAGAGAAGCAGGAGGAGGCATGACTCCTTTGTTCTTTTGTTGGTTTGCTGCAATGGATGAATAAACCTCACAAACCGTAAGATATGTACTATGGACTTCTTTTGCCTGCGTACATTATGGTGCATCAGTGACCTTTTAATTTTAGGTTTGGCTAAAATTTGAATTTGGATCCAGACAAATAGCTACTACACAAAGAAAAAGAGATTTAGGGCTGCAAAGAAGATTTTTATTATTGTTTGATCCACAATTGATTTTCCCAATTAACAGTTTGGTCTATAAAATGAAATGGTGAAATATGCCCATCTTCCTAATGCCAACATATTCATATTCACTTATTTAGTCATATTTAGTTTAAAATCATAAAAGACTAAGATTAACAGCAAAAATAAATAAATAGATAATCACATCCAAGGAGCTGAGTACAGTTAATGTTTTGGCAACATTGCTTAAAGATTAGGTTTAATTGGATAACGTTTAAAAAAATGTTCTGCTTATAAATGATCATTTCAGACCACAAGCTAAATGCCCAGTAAAGATCATGATGGTCAACATAAAAACAATAAAACAAGGAAAAGGCTGTTTAATTTACTCAAGTCAGATAACTGAGTACATGTTCAGCCTAGCATGCACCATCATATGACATAATAGCTGATATTACACAAGTTATGTCATCATACTCCTGCTTTTTATTTTCAAATGTTGTGCTTTCTTTTGTTTTTGTTTGGTTTACATATTAAATATTTGTATTTTTGAGAACAAATTGGTCTGTTGGCATTGAAGAAGAATTGTGCTGGTACTCAGTGTGTTAGCTAGCTATTCAAATGTATTACCAAACCCACAGAGTCAGGCTGTACTAGCTGCAACACTGTAGGGTTAACTATGGAGTACCAGCAGTTTAACCAAGGGTCTTTGTGGGGACACATGGCTGTTTGATGCATGTGTTGTGATCTTTTAACATCTAACTAACAATGACCAAAAAAAAAGGGCAGATCCCCCCCCCCCAGAAACTGCTGCATATACTCTTAAAAATGTTAAGTCAGTACATTGGACACAAAAGAAAATGTAACTGGTTTTCCTGCCCTCTGTTTCCCTCTTCTCTCCTCTTTATGCTTCAGACCCAGGACCCCCAGCTGGCATCAAAGCTGTGCCCTCCTCTGCCAGCAGCGTCGTGGTGTCCTGGTTACCCCCTCACAAACCGAATGGAATTATCCGCAAGTACACAATCTACTGCTCCAGCCCCGGGTCAGGCCAACCGGTGAGTTAGAACAGGGGTGCAGAGAGTTGGGACTGGGAAGTGGATGAAAAGGGGGAAAAAGACTATCCAAACACGGTGATGACAGAGACAAGTGATGTAGAATAAATGCAGAATACAGCTTCTGTTATACATTTTATACAACGTATAATCCTAAAATAAAAAGAGTTAATTTAATTATGACATTCACCATTTGTGTATTTGTGGATATGTGTGTGTGGTCTAGTGCTGAACTCTCAGCAAGACGTGTGCGTGGGGGGGGTGAGCTCTCCTCATACAGCAGTGTGTGTGTGTGTGTGTGTGTGTGTGCAAGCTCACCCTCCAGTCTCATTTGCATATCTGTGTCTCATCACGTTGCCAGGACAACCTCATCTGTTCATCAACGAGAGCAGAAAACAAGCCGACAGCAAACGCACACTCTCACTTACACACAGACAGACATTCATAAATATATCACACCATGCATACAGAGGTACATACATAAATGCAACTCATGTTTTGATGAGAGTGTGAATTCAAAACCAAGGACTAAATCCTGCTCACTTACATATACACACACATACATGTGACACAAGTGCACCAAATAAATATACCTATTTGGAAATACACATGCATCTACTCCTTAGTCTTCCTCATTCACAAGTCACTCTTTCTCTCTTTTTCTCTATTTACCTATCTATCTATCTTTCTCTTTCTCTCTCTGAAGCCCCCATGCAGAGTTCAGGATGATTACTATGTAAATGAGTGTGACTGGAGAGAAGGAAGGAGGGATGGGGGGGTCAGACACATCGCACGGGGAGTACTTTTGTTCCTCTTTTCATTATCTCGCTCTATCGTTCCCCGGATCACCGCTATCTCCACGCTGGAAGAATATTTTAATATCCGTTACAGCAACACACACTTACTCCTCCCTCCCTCCCTCCCTCCTCCTTATATCTAGCCACCCATCCGTCCATTCATTCATCCATCCATCCTTGTCTCCATACCTCTGCCTGCAGTGGAGATGCAAATGTACACAGAGGAGAGAGGAGGAAAAGAAGATGTGAGAAGGTGTGAGAGTCAGGGGGAGAAAGACAGAGACAGTGTAAAACGGCAGGTGGCATTGGTGGATATAGGGAAGGAAAGGCAAGGAGTGGGCCCAGTACAGGGAAATGTGGAGAGGGACAGGGACATGAAGACAGGGATGGATGATGAACAGTGAACACAGGGAAGTAATCAAAAGCCCAGTGGATTCATAAATGTGAAAAACAACACGAATAGTGGAATCTCTTTGCGCAGGATAAGTCGCTCTGCAGACAACAACCCAGCAGGCTGGGACAGAGCTCAGCTACACTGCAGAGTCTTTGCAGGTTTTATCGGTCTGCTGTGTGTACCAACGCTTCCAACCATTTGACACTTGTATTGCAGTCATTTCATCTGTGCACATGCACCTGTCAGTCAGAAATGGAAGTCAGTGTCAAACTAGCGGGGTGCAGTAAAATGTGATTTTGCGGGCAACAGTGAATTTTAGGTGCTACCTTACAGGGCAATATGTGTTAAATGTGTGATTGTGTTTTCATAGTATTCTATTCATAGATGTGACCACGAGCAGACGGAGCTGCTGAGGGGGAATATGTAGAAGTGTGTGTGTATGTGTCTGTGTGTGTGTGTGTGTGTTGGGACACAGTAGGAGTTGAGAGGATAAGGGTATAACTGTAAGCTAGGTGATCAGTGGGTTCTCTGTGTGTGTTTGTGTGTTGTAGGGACAATGATGCACATGTGTTTAGACGTCAGACACATGGATGGGCTAAACACACAGCAATTACACATCCACCTCTAGGTCATGTACTGTATGCCTGTATGTCTGTGTGAGCATATTCATGAATGCATATTTGAGCTAGCTTGTGTGTAACTACCTCTTTCTCTGCCTGTTTTTGTGACGTTCCTCTCATCTGCTCTCCTCTCTGTCTAATGCCTGCAGTAGATAGGCCTAATTAGTGGATGGCTGTTCATGATACCTCTGACTGACTCGTTCGCCTGTCTCTTATTATCTTCCTCTGTCCCAAATTTGTTTGCCCTCCCTGAGGAAAACAGAGGAGGAGAGGCTGTTGGATTTACTATGTTCCTTCATTCCAACTTTCTCCTCTCTCTCTCTTTGTTGGTCTTGCTCTCTCCAGCAATCCCACAATTTTATCATAATATACCCCATAACTATCTGTGTCTTCCACCTCGTCCTCCTCACTTTTCATGTAGTACCGACTCGAGAGGAGATTACAAGGCTCGCTTCACATTAGGATAATGTTCAGTCAGTGCTTCACATTACATCTGCCTCTCCAGTAAAGTGGCAAACATCATCGTCTTCGACATCACCCACATCCTTTTTTGTGCTGCTCAGAACATAGGAGATGAACAATGTAGATTTTTGTGATAAACTGTTTTTTGTAACCAAAAAGTAAAAAGGGAATTATTCAGTGTTCATCTTTTCATTCTTATAAAAATGTATTGTATGTGGAAAAGTTTTTTTTTTTTTTAATCGTGATTTAGGAAGGCTTTAAAATGTGTTTATTTTCCTTACTGTGTTATAAAATTCTACCTGTTTCCTCTGGGCTTTGTTTCTTTATACAGTAATGCTGCATGATATGCGTATTAAGGTGTTTGGAGTGTTCTCGGTGCACTCCAGTACCAACATTTTCCTTTCCCCTTTTCTGCTCCCCCCAGCTGCCCAGCGAGTATGAAGCTAATCCAGAGCTGCTGTTCTACCGAATTACCCACCTCAACCACCGGCAGCAGTACCTGATCTGGGCTGCAGCTGTCACAACTGCAGGCCGGGGGAACTTCAGTGAGAAGGTCACTGTGGAGCCAGCAGCCAAGGGTGAGTTCCCGAATATCAAAGTGTAATAACAGACCCAGTGAGGCTAAATGTCCACTAAGTATATTTTGGGTAAAAAGACATGAAGGTTAAAACTACTATATGCATAATTAGATTGACTGATTGTTTCAACAGCATCAAGCACATCAAAATCTGCTTACAAGTGTTGGGGAGTATTACTGCATATGTGGACAAAAAACTGCATAAAGCCTTTTGTGGCTTCAAACAGTGTTACAGATGCAATGCTACAGATACAGACACTCAGAATTGCTGCTCCCATCTGAAAGCCATTCAGCTGCCATTCAGCTGGCTTTCAGTTCCCAGCCAGCTTCCAGCAGCCGCCCCCCTCCTGTTACCCAAAAAGATGTGCCTAGATTCCACAGTAAACACACCCATTTTAGAGCTATTGCTTCATTTGCACGGTGTCTGTCTGTGGAGGACTTCACTGTATTTCTGCATGTATTTATAAATTAAATTCAAATCAAATTTATTTGTTTAGCACCAAATCACAACAAAAGTCATCTCAGGACACTTTACAAAGTAATGTTAGATTCGGGCATTGGGAGGACCCAAATGTAGACACAGGCTGAGGTACAGTATACAGTCAATTTTAATATAACTGATGCGGCATAAAGAAACAAGTGGAACAACTAAGGGGCTCGACCTGACAAAGGTGACATACTGTAGGTCAGGAAGTCTAACCAAAATAAAAGCACAAAACAGGAAGCCAGACTGCAAACCGTAACAAGTAGGGTCTAGACCTTATTATTATTATTATTATTTATTATTATAGAAGAAAACCCAGCAAATCCCCCTTGAGCAGCACTAGGCGACAGCGGGGAGAAAAAACTCCCTTTAATGGAAGAAAACCTCCAACAGACTCCGACTCTTGGTGGGCGGCCTTCTGCCTCGACCGGTCGGGGTGAGTGGATAGAGGAGAGAGAAAGAAAAGAAAACCAATAAGACACAATAAACAAACTAAAGGCAGGCTGATTTGGCTGGTGACTGCTCAAAAGACACATGCAGTTCCAAGGCCAGGGAAGGTACAGGGAGAGAGACAGGACACACTACAGGAGAGAGGAGACACACAGTGACGTGTAATGGTGGCATATAGATGCATGGAGGGAGAGGAGAGTGCAAAATTGCTTCACATATGATTATTGTCACTCAAATGCAGATGTTTAAAAAAAAGCTTCCTCTTCTGAACATGTTTAGACAGGTTTTCTCCTAGTCTCCTGAAATTCTTTTGACCTACAAATCAACAAAGCTGTTGCTGAGTGGATGAGTATAGAGTGTCCTCGTTTTTCCAGATTTTTCTGGTCTTTGCTTGTCCTAGTGTATCTTTCTCTCTCTTCATGACAGCGTCGAACTCCTCTCCAAGCCTCTTATTGACAATGCCATGAACTAAAAATAACATGACTGTGTGAATGATGTAAATGATCACACTCTTACTTTGACAGTTGCTCTATATATCTGCATCCCTTTGCTTGTTTCTACAACCTCTCCTTCTGTTTCTGTGTTGCTGCCTCTTTTGACTTTACAGAAATGTGTTATTGATTTCAGAGTTCAGAGGGCACCGGATAAACTGCCCTCAAGCAGGGGAATTAGAAAAAAGGAAACAAAAGGGAGGACAGCGGGTGGAGGGAAAAAAGAGGAGAGAGAATGACACGACAAGAGCAGACCTCACAAATACACAAGGCAACAGAGCGGCAGAGTGTTGAAAAAATGAAGAGGGCAGTTAAATCAATAGGCACTGGATTAAAAGACAGGAAGAATGAGGGAGTAGGAATGAACCAAGTGCACTTTCCATCATGGTATCCTTTTCTTTATCTATTTGTTCCTTTGACTGCCGGGTGTAAAAGTTTGTGAGTACGGGTGGGTGCATCAGCTGATCAGCAGCTGTAAAAGGCAGTGTCCTCCAGGCTTGCCCACTCAATACTTCATTCAACATTAACATACTGTAAGTGCACTAGAGCACCAGCATGAAGAAGCCAGAGAAAGAAAGAGAGGCAGAGCAGGTGGGTAGGGTAGGGGAGTGACAGAGAATAAGAGGGATATGTGCCTGAATGGATGGATATTTTTTCATATCCTCTCTGCTCATTCTTTGTCCTGTTTTATATTCTTATCCGTACTGTATTTGCATTCTTTGGGCAATATCACATTTAAAACCGATTTCTTTTCTGCCAAGTGTGAATCGCAAGAAATACCATGCACATGATTTCCTCTAGTAAATGCTTGTTGAATGAATCCTAAATGGAAAACAAATCATCTTATGCATTTTGTATTACCAATCACATTGTATTGACTCTAAATGGTACATGTTTATTAGGCTATTACCCTGTTCGTGTTATCGTCTGTTTGGGTGTTAATATAATTAGCTCTAATGGCCTTTTTAAGTCAGTTTCTTTGTCTGGATGCATCTACCATTTTTATATTTCTTTCTTCATCTCCCACCAGCCCCAGCTAAGATCCTGTCATTTGGAGGTACAGTGACTACTCCTTGGATGAAAGAGGTCCGGCTGCCCTGTAGCTCAGTAGGAGAACCAACACCCACAATAAAATGGACCAAAGACAGGTGAGAATCCACCTCAATAGTGTTTTATAAAGCTGAGTGTTGTTAACATATAGCATGTGGTTTAACAAAAGGTCAGTTGTCAGAGATTTTCATTAATACATTGGGATAATGTCATATAAGTGGTGCATCTTTAGAAAAAAATGCAACTTTCTGACACAAACTCAAATACTGATTTCAGTGTAAAAAGACTAGCACGTTAACATAATATCAGAGGTGGCAAAATACACACATTCATTACTCAGGTAGAAGTACAGATACCTGTATAAAAAAAGACTGGTAAAAGTAGACATACTGATATTGAAGTTTCTTTACTTAAATAAAAGTAAAAGAAAGCACAGGCTCTGAAGTGTACTCGAAGTATAAGAGTAAAAAGTAGCCCTTTAAATGACATTTGTGACATTTCTACCGGTTTCTGTGCAAGCTTAACTGAGCCTCATCTCATACTGACTAAATGATTGTGATTTCAAATAAAATAAAAAATATACCAAAAATAATTAACAAGAACACGTTTACGGTCTAATTAAGTCTTAAAGGATAAGCCTCTACTCACTGTTCACATCTGTCAGTCTCCAACCTGGACTAGCTTCTTCGTCTGTGCCATAGACGTCCGTTGTTGTTCAAAAATGATAAAAAAAAACATCAGTGGAACACACCGCTGCAATGGGTGACCATGTTTCTGTTATTACAAAACACAAGACCAGTATATTTGTTAAAAATGTTGTCCCAAAAGTTTCAAATGATCATAAGTAAGACTCAACTGCAAGTGTGCATGTGAAAGCGTGAGGAGCTAGCAGGCTAAACAAAGCAAAGTGCTAAATATAAAAATGTATTATTCGCCTCAAATGTATTAAAACTGAAAGTAACAAGTCCAATTTAAAAATGTAAAAAGAAATACTCCTGTAGAATACAGATACGTGAAAAATACAGTAAGTACAGTAACAAAGTGTTTGTCCTTCATTACTTTCCACCTCTGCATAATATACAGTAAAATCAATCTTATGGTGTCCTTCCTTTCTGTTAGCGAGGACACAGCCATTCCAGTGTCTCTAGATGGACAGCGTCTCATCCTGGCCAATGGGACACTGGTGCTGCGCTCTGTCAAAGCTGAAGACTCAGGCTACTACACCTGCACAGCCACCAACACCCTGGGCTTTGACACTATCATAGTCAATCTCTTGGTACAAGGTAGGACAGTGTCATGAATGGCACTCCACTACCACTGCACCTCTAGCTGAAAACACAAGGTGTTTCCAGCTGAAACACGAGGAATGTGGTGTGCTTTCCACACTTACAGTATGTTTTCTCCACAAAAAAGGATCTACAATAATTTAACGCAGGTATTATTGAGTGGTTTACTCCGTGTGTCCGTTCCACAGTCCCTCCAGACCAGCCTCGTCTAACTGTCTCCACCACCTCCACCTCTTCCATCACGCTGGCCTGGATACCGGGAGACAACGGAGGCAGCTCTATCAGAGGTAGGTGGCTCAGTATAAACGTCTTCCTGTATACTCATATCTCTTTCTCTTGTCTGTAGCCTCTGTCTATAAAGATGACACTATACTATAAAGTTGGGTTTATCCATTGACTTCTGATCTCAGTTTACCCTCTGTCCATCTTCATCTTTTACCTGGCACATTGTTAGTGTGCATACCAACCTGCTACAGTAGATTATTGATTTGGATCCCGGTTTTATGTTTCCTGTTAATTGTGTGTCTGTTTGATTATCTGGTTGGTGGTGATTTCTGTGTGTGGACAGCCATGGTATGTGTGCCTGAATGGCCATGCATGCAAATAGGATTTTTTTTTTGTTTATTTTTTTTATGTTGTTTGTCAGTAGGAGGATGTTGTAGAATGACTCTTTGTTGCTCACAAAATCTGTCAGACTATCAAGCACAAAGTATGTGGTGACTTTGGTGTAGTGGCTTAAGACAGAACTGGACTTTTTATCCCACATCATTACCAAAGAAATTACAATAAACACTATTTAGGCAATATCATGACTTCATAAACAGCTTTTTGAACCATTAGGTTACATGTATTTTAAAGCTACCATGGTATTCACATTGGTCAGACTACTGCCAGGAAGATCCAGAGAAACACAGTAATTTGCATGCATTAAGTGCACGGATGTAGTAAGTAATATAAACTTTGGTGCAAACAGTGTGTGCTGGGTGTGTGGCTTTGCATTCAGATCAGCAAAACAAAATCAGTATTTGCATACGCCATTCATTGCCTCATACATCAGTATGTCTGTATATCTTGTATGTATACCAGAATGCCCGTCTGTCTATCTGCACAGTGTCAGCAGTAGGCAATGCTAGCATAGAATTTGAATTACTACTGCAGTGGCATCTCCACATTATGTTTTTTTCCAAATAGAACATGTTAGGACATTTTCATAATAAAAAGTCTCAGCTGCCCTTTTTGTAGCTTGTGTAATAAATAAAAAAATTAACATAATGAAATGAACAAATGCTCTAATCTGTTCCACAATAGTCCACAGTGGTTTTTGTGTTTTTCTGGTCTGCTTTTTTTTTTTTGTACTGTTCTGTACTGTTCTTTCCGCTATATCTGTTATGTTATGCTGTGTTCTCTTCTATTCAGTGACAGACAGAGGGTGACGATAAAACTTATAAACAAACACTGCAGGATCTGCACATGTTAATCCTGCTAATGTTTCGGACTCTATCGCACCATCTGTCAGAGACAGAGAGAGAAAAGAAAGATGGTACAAAGAGTACAAAGAAACACACACAGAGATGCT